TGTACGTGTGTGTGTGTGTGTGTGTGTGTGTGTGTGTGGTGTGTGTGTGTGTGTGTGTGTGTGTGTGTGTGTGTGTGTGTGAACAAGTGCATATTATGTGCGTGTTGAGTGTTTGTGTCTGTCTGCATATGTGCATGCTCTGCTGAAGGTGCTGGTTGTTACCCGCACCTTAATTAGAAGGAGACAGAGACTCATTTTCGACAATACTTGCAGGTAATGTGAACCGCTCGTAGTGAATACAAAAAGAGATCTATTCACCTCCAAAAGCTCCACTCACAAATTACAGCTCAAGTTCAGAGTCTTTGATCAAAGCCATGATGCATGCTGCAGGTTGTCCTGTCAGAAAAAACAACACAGAGGTTCCTTATCAAACACAGAGTACAGAAGAGTACGGCTGAGAGGAAACACACAAACCAAGTAGGTCAACCTACATGACACAGGAGAGAGTCCTAGCTGCAGTTAGGCGTTAATACGCCTGAGAGCATTTAGCACAGTATTCTAGCACATAATTGAAGAAGTCAGCGAGAAATGTGGGTTAGCAATAGCATGCCATGCGCACGTATGAATGTGGAATGACAAAGATTTTTGAAATTAAATATTTAAGTCCTGTGTGCCATCTCCTGAGCGAGAGCGACAGGAGTTTCAAAGCAGCTGTGGGGCTCGTCAGTGTTGAAAGGTATGTTTTCTCAAGTATGGAACGCATTTGAAGTGCTTACACTATATTTTTAAACAATTTACATTGTGGGCTTCTTTATATTACTACTTTACAAATTTGGATTGTACACATATAACGCATTGCTATATGTAGAATGATATATAACTTAGATTAAATTAACTCCAACTCAAACAATTATAACATTTAAACAAAGCTTACAGCGCATTTCCCGTATAATATGTGTGTACTTTAAATAAAGTAAATCTTGTGTGGTAGTGCGACTTTTACCTCTGACAAGGCAAGTTGATTTTGTTTGTTTAAGGGAAGGATGTAAACACTTTCAATGTCAGTGTCAGAGTTAGATACGTAAACAAAGAAACTGCACTCCTCCCAGACACTGTCCACTCGGCCCCCCTCACTAACCCGATGCCAGTCTTATGCCACCTTGATGCCAAGCCTGCCAAACTTATGTCACATCAGAGCAGACCCGGTGTCAACTCCTCACAGTACATATGCCAACCCGATGCCCTCCTCATGCCAACCTCATGCTACATCGGTGGCAATACTCAGACAACAATATGCCACCGGTGGACCTCTGTTTGGCCCAGTGGGCAGATCCCCTGACTGTGGGCACCGGGAGACACGGTATGGAAGTGGAAAAGGTCAGAAGTCACTAGTGAGTTAGGGTTCAAAGACAAATCTGTCGTTTTGGTTCTTCTTCAGTAGATGCAATTAACAGCGAAATCCGGCTCCCAAGCCCCGCTTAAGCTCTAATCTCAGAGTCTGTGGGCTCCTTCCAGCCAGCCTCCCATCAGCCCGTCTCCCACCAAAGCCCCTCACCTCTGCCTCTCTCTCCATCTCTCTCCCTCCTGATGCCTGCTGGCACTTTGGGAGCAGTGCCCCTCCAATCCCTGTACCCCCCCCCATCCTTCCCTCCCTCCTCTGGATGCCAGCCGACGGCCCTCACAGTGTGGCACGCCATCTGCTGCCGCCCGCCCCGGCAACCCAACCACCCCACCCCTCCTCGCTAACTCTACCCCCCCACCCCTGCAGACAGCAGCTACCCACAATCCCCCTCTGCCTCAGCCGCGCGGCACGTAGAACAGGAGGCTTTCGCACAGATCACTTCACCCCCCGATGCCCCCGCCAGAGAAGAGGAAGCTGGGTAAAGTGTGTGTGTGTGTGTGTGTGGTAGAGGCGTCAGCGGCCTTACAAACAAAGTAGTCAAGCTTTTTGTTCTGTGTGTAAATAAAAACAAACACACACACTCGTTATAAAACACAACTCTGTTTCTGGTTTAGTGCTGACATGCATTTACATTCAAAAGTTATCGGTTTAAACCTACAGTCTATGGTTTAAACACACACACACACACTACCCAAGGACGTTTTTAGTTTTTTGGTTGATGCGTGCGCCCATGCCTAGACGTCAGAGCTAGTCTACGGATTCCCATAAAAATATTGGTCTGTGTTGCGATCGTTTTCCTGTAAAAATATGTTTACAATACGAATAACAGAGCAATTTGTCTCTCCTAATATCCGTAATACAATTCTATGTACGTGTTTTGTTTTGGTTATGGGGCATCTTCTTTTTCATACGCATAAATCATCATGGAATGCACCTACGTACAGGTATGTTTAAAATGTAGATGTCCTCACACACACACACATGGTGGTGCTGTTGGGGATCCGATGGTGGCTTTGTGGCAGAGCTCTCTGATCAGCGTTTAGCTTTGAAAAAGGGAGAGCATAAGATGAGAGACATTAAACTATAGCAGGAACATGCGGGAGAGAGAGAGAGAGTCAGTCCTACATCCATCTTGTGTGGGTATGGAGCCTCATGGCTGGCACTCTATCCATCAATGAGCGCAACATTAACTCTCTGGATCACAACCAACATCCCCAGATCTCTCTCCATCCTCTGCCCCTCCCCTCACTCTGCCAAATACACACACCAACACACACAGACACTATTAGTATTCCTCTAACATCCATGAAAGACCTCAAAATACACCTATCTACCTTACCCTCGAACACGATCAGATCCTGGGGTTTTATGTATTCAAAACTCTATAACTCTATAAAATCCCCAAAACATTTCCAAGTTTCTCTCTTCCTCTCTCTATCTTTACACACCTTCAGCACCTAACCAGCTAACCTCCTCAGCCCCTCTCTGATGTCTAGATCGTCTCGATTCACCTCCTTTTTTCTCCTCTCCAGATCTCCTCTCCGCTGAGCTGCCTGATCCGCTCCTCTCTTTGTCTCTCCCCCAGTTGGTGTTAATAATTTAACTACTGAGCTGCTGCAGAGCTGGCTCCCGTCCAGGCCTCGGATTGGCACTGTCTGTCTATTTATGACACTGTGTGGCGGCACACATGTGTGGGATGTGCAAGAGTGAGAGGACGACAAGTGTGTGTGTGTGTGTGTGTGTGTGTGAATTTGCGAGTGAGTGTGTGCATGTATTTCTCTATTAGACTTCAGGAAATGAGCTGTCGCCTAAATGGAAGTCAGAAAGAGAGATGTGTGTTACAAACACAGATTCCTCCTGCGAGAGGGATTCTCTAAATTACTATTCACACAAAATTGTTTGAAATAATGTGGTAAGTTGGAGACACAGTCTTATCCAACACAATGTTATAGTGTTATTAGCTGGCTACTGGTCTTTCAGGCTATGATATGCAATACTAAAGGAGGTCTGCTTGGTAAGAATTCTGAAATAATTTATTGAAGAAATAAGGCGGAGATGAGAGGAAAAGGACGAACTATGGGACCTCCAAGTCACATAACACTGATTTATGACATATAAAGAAGCTAATATGCAAAGAATGGTAATAATGTCATATGTTATTCAAAATAAAGGATGAAAATATGACATGACTATCAGATTTCTCAAAAAAACAGGGGTTATTCAATCAATGATATTGCCCCTCTTTATCTTCAGAGGTGTCCTGCATAAGCAGACAGCCTCAGACTAAGTGGTTTGGAAATTATGTAGCAATAGAACTGGACAAGACAGAAATAATTAGCACCCATTGAAATGTAAAACGCTACACTTCATTCTGTTGAAACTTTGCGTAAAAACTTTAACAAATATTCTCCAAAATCTGTTCCAGCACATTACCTGAAGACACTATACACCACGGATTCAACAGTTCTGAAAAAAAAGAGGTGACATTTCCGAAGAAAGTACGTGACACGGTGTGAATCTCGATGCCACCTCCCACACCTCTCACACCCTCCTACAATCCTGCCCACAAGAGATCTCTGCCGGGTAAAATCAGTGCAAGCAGCTCACGACATTCATGTATTCATCACTGGTATCATCAATCATCCTTAGAAACAGACGTCATCCTTTTTAAACATCACTAACGGTATTTAAATAATCCACTCATTTTACGAGTGCTTTTCCTCAGGGCTATTTTACTTAAATGTTAAAACAAACAATGAGATTTCTACAGATCCAAATGTCTTTGACCTTGCCTTATCTACACTTTGCCAACAATGCTTTTCACACTCAATTTGCTCTTCTGGTGTCTTCTCTAAAGTGTCACCAACAAATTAGGATTGTTTCCATTTGTTTTGTTTAGCAATGCATCTGTCAAAGTCATTTAAGTTAACTTGTAAATCTTGTGTATTGAATTCATCGGTTGATCGGTTAAGGCCTTCTCGGGGATTCATAGTAAACAGACATATGCAAGGCCGCCCACCTTACCTTATATACATTTGATATCTCATAAGGGCCTTTCACACTTGCCGGAAAACATAAACACACCACAAATGGCTGCATGAACACAGAACCTGCACTGTCATTCATTTCAGAAACGGAGGGAGGTCAGTGTACCAGACGGTGTTTGTGTGTCTGTGTGCAAACATGTGTGCAGGATCGCATGGATGTAGATGTGTGCTCACATGTATGTGAATGTGCACGTCAAAAATGCGGGAGGGAAACATGCATGTGGAAGCACAAACACACACACGCACCGGTGGTGACAGGTGGCTGTGGTAAAGAGGTGGTCCCTGAGCTGGGGTCTGCCTGTCTCTGGCTGAGAGAGAGAGAGGAATAAAAAGCTCCCAGCAGCTGTCGCCCTAATTCCTCTAACACGGTGCTTGTGCTCTGATTAGAAAACAGATCTGGCCTCTAATTTACTCCTGACATCAACTAATGCTCTATATCTCAATTTCTCCGTCCCTGCTCGCCACTGGCCTGCCTGGCTGGACACACACACCTGGTGACTAAGTGAGTAAGAAACGTACAGGCATAAAAGCACACAGAACACTGCAAACCGAGAATAACATAGAGCCATAGTCCTTACCTGGTATCACGAAATATCACGCTCAGACACGCTGCTACTGAGCTATGAAACTGGATTGTTCTTCTATCCTCAGTCTGAAAAACCAGGCTTGAAGAGGCTTCATGACAACTTTAGTTATCAAATTACTATTCATTTCCCATCATTATCGGCTGGTAATACCTTTAAAATAAGAGTCAGCCCTTAATCAACAGTTGTGTATGTCTAGAGAGATGTTTTGCTTTTTATAATGGTTACAAATTATGACACCAATGCAGATGCGAAGAAGTGTATCATGAGGTTACTTAAGGTCTATGCATTTGCTGAAATAGAAAATAGTTTTAATTTAATTAATGTGTCAATTCATTCCATGTTTTCTGGAAATAAAATCATTCAGAAAAACAACTGTGTATAAGTACTACTACTACCAATCCTCTTTTTATCCTAAAACATATATCCATCCTTCCTAAGGTCTCATATTTTGCTGCAAACAAGGGGAAGGGAAAAAAGGAAAAAAGTCACATAAAAATGTATTTTTATAAAGGTTTCTTTGTGATATACTGGATAGAATAAGTTTAAAATTAATTGGGCATGCAATTTAGTGAAAGCTAAACTTCCCAACATTTAAAAAATGATACTGGCAGTAGAGTTACAGATAGACAATGCTTTCTAATAAAGCTTCAAATGCCAAATAGTTTTGGCATGTCTAATATAGATTACAAATGACTACATGTTAGTAGGTCTATCTGTTTCTCAGAAAAGTTGAAGTGAATGATGGAGAGAATGGAAGTGATGTTCAGTGATACCAGTTCATCGGGGGAGGAGAAGGCTGGCCGGGTGTCGGGGTGCTGTGACGGGGTTGGCCCAGCAGGGGGCAGAGGTGTGATGCAGGGAGTGGGAGGTGACAGCTCGGTGTCACACTGCACACAGGGTGTCACCTCACCAGGCTGGGAGAAAGAGAGAGACAGAGAGAGACAGAGAAAAAAGGTGAAAGATCTATCTCACTCTGCGTTCTTTTCCTCTACCTTTGTGAGGACTTGAGTTTAAGACCATAAGGACATTTATGTAACGTGAGGATGTATTTAGATTAAGGTTAGGTTTAGTGAATGCTTTATTGTATTGTGATCAAGCTATACCTGATTCAACTGATAAGGAAACACACATGAAACCCCATTAAGAAACCCAGCTTAATGTGTGTGAGCATGTTGCTGTGAAGGGCTTGTAAGAGGATACTAGTAGGCTAGGTTTCTTTGTGTAAGTGTGTGTGTGTGTGTGTGTGTGTGTGTGTGTGTGTGTGTGTGTGTGTGTGTGTGAGAAATCCTTTTTATTTCCTCTTTCTTCTCTCTCTGTCCCCTGTATCTGTCTCCTGGGACTCACTTGGCATCCCTCCCTACTTTTAATTCTCGCTCCACAAACTGCTGCTGTCTGAACACAAGCTGGCATCACACACACACACACACACACACACACACACACACACACACACACACACACACACACACAACACACACACACACACACACACACACACACACACACACACACACACAACACACACACACACACACACACACACACAACACACACACACACACACACACACACACACACACACACACACACACACACACACACACACACACACACACACACCTCCCTTTAATGGGCAATGGAAGACACACACAGCCGCCCCACTTCCGGTTCAAATGCAACACAGACCCTTTCACATCAGTGTCATCTGAAATATTGGAAATCATTTCACAGACACATACAAGGGACATCAATGATAAAGTACAAGTTGAAATCAGAGAGAAACACACAAATACACACGCAGTAATGAAAGACCGAGATGCTAACAGCCTCCCAGGAAATACACACTCACTCCCAAACGCACACACATTTCATCACTGACAGTAGAGACACAGAGAGACAGCATCTCTGCTTCTCAGAATACAAATCCAGTGTGAAAGAAACACACACAAGATGAGCCCTTAAAACACAAATCGAGGAAGTAAAAGAACATGAACATTCCACATTTATTTGTTTATTTTTCTCTCCCTGCTAGCTGCTCCTTTAGTTTCAAACGGGCTTAATAACACAACTGTCATCGGTGCTCACGCAGCCAGCCGCATGCATACAAGTTCTCCAGCAAAACATACATACTCTGACAGGCAGCCCAACTTCAAAAGCCAGAAATAAATAAATGAAAGACGAGTCTGATAGGGATGGATGAATAAATAACAAGAGAGAGAAAACAGGAAGGAGTGTGCAGCAGTTAGAGAGGAAGCAGAGAGGGAGATGCAGTGATTTCTGGAATGAGGCTGGAGGTGCAGGCAGAGAGAGTGAAGAGAGGCTGTCACACACACTTCTCATCTCATTTAAGTTAAACTGGCATGCAGAGATGGAAGCACACTCCAGAAATAGATATCTGTGTGCAGCCATGCGTATGCTGCAGGTGATGAGTGCAAAATGCAGCATGAGACCGAGTGACTTTCTTCTCTTTAGAGTTTAACACTGTGTGTCCTTTCTTTACAATTATTTGGAGAAGGGTGTGAGTGTGAATGCAAATATGCAAATGAAACGGTTATTATTGCATTGCTCATCAAGCAGCGCGGAGCAGACATTAATAGGCTGATGAATATGCATGTAAATTTGTTAATTAAGTTAATTATTCTGCTGAAAATGCATTTGTCTTCCAAGGACATCTTCCCCAGGATTCCAACCTGCTCCACTCATTAGTCATGCGTATTTTACACTGGGCGCCGGGACAAGAGGTAGGAATGGGAGGGGCAGGAGGGGCCACCGGGGTGGATATGTATACAATATAAGGGCATCATGGCTTTCAAATCAACTTAAGAACAGCAGTAAGAGCCTGAGAAAGAGATAAGATGGCATGATGATGGCATCCAATCATTCATCAGCACTTCAAAAGTGGAGGGTCAGTGAAGGAGACAAAGCCCCGCGCCCTGCTACAGCGGGGCGTAGACGCTCCTAGTGGCCAGCCATTCGCTCCATCTCTGCTTTTCTCTTTCCTCTCCAGTAATTCCCCCTCTTCGCTGCTTTTCCTCTAATTGCTTATTAAAACCCTCTTAAATGAACTTTTTGTGCCAACTTTCCAACACATTAATTAATTGTTGTAGCCAATTAAGTGTCGCTGCGCAAATGAGCTTCAGCACAAATGGTCCTGCAGGGCCCGTCTAGCCCCCCCCCCCCCCCCCCCCACCACCCCAACCTCCTCCGCCACCCTTTGCTGACTGCTTTCCCAGCAGCCCCTCTGCCCTTAAAGCGGCAGCATCAGCACAGACAGGCAAAAATAATGTTGCCTTTGAATTGAATTGGTAATGACATGACCTTGGAAATGTACTTTGCTGTGCAAAAGTGCAGCATCATGCAGAGAGGTTGAGGTTGCTGATTTGGAGAAAACTATTAAAACATAATGAATAAATACCAGTGTGTTCTCACTTTTAAAGGTCCCATGTCATGGCCATTTCTACTGATCAGAATTCCATTGTTGAGGTTGACTAGAATAGATCTACATTGTTCAATGTTCCAAACTCACATTGGTTTCTCATACAGCATCTCTGTATAGTATGTGTATTCACTCTGTCCTAAACGGCTTGTTGGAGCTCCTGACCCCCCCCTCCCTATGAGCCCACTGTGCTCTGATGAGTCCACCACCGTTACAGCGGAACATCAGTGGTTATGTGTTACAATGGCGTTTGCAACCAGAAAATGACACCAGTATCGACAAACAGATGAGAATGCTGCGTGGGGTCTGGGTGCCGTGTTGGCGGGACGTTGCGGGGCTCGCTGCTCTGCCCCTTTGAGGCTCGAGGAGCGGACAGTGTGAGCTGTATTACTGGTGTAGTTTCCTGGTTGCTGCGTGGGGTCTGCGAGACAGCTCAGCCTGTGTGTGTGTGTGTGTGTGTGTGTGTGTGTGTGTGTGTGTGTGTGTGTGTGTGTGTGTGTGTGTGTGGTGTGTGTGTGTGTGTGTGTGTGTATGTGTGTGTGTGTGTGTGTGTGTGTGTGCGGAGATCCGCGGCTGAGAAAAGATAAGGCTGAGTGAGTGTGTGTGTGAGGAGCCGTTACGTCACTATGACCGGGAAGTAAACGATGGAAGAAGAAAAATCTCCAACGAGGCGTTCTGGGGCAGCATAGACAGGTATTTTCTGTGTTAGAGTTGTACTCGCTACAGGGTGTACTTTGAGGGTTTGTGACTCTGCAGACCGTTTACATGTATAAAAAGCTGCATAACACACAAGGGGACGGGTAATAACCAGAAAAGCATGACATGGGACCTTTAAGCTTTCTCTCTTTACAGAATACTCATGAAGTGGACACTAGAAAAACTTCAGTAGAAGGAATGTATACCAAAGGAGTTACTGCAATCCTGGATCATTTTTTGGTTTATGACCTGGCACCAGCAACTTTATACAAAATCACGAAACATCTGTATCATCTGCCAATCCCAAAGGCTCCTAACAATTATTTGGTTGGTGTCGCTGCTGTTGAACGATAAAGGAATAACGAGTGTGTGTGACAGCAGTTTCTCACAAAACTATAAACTGAGTAGAAATGGAGATGGTGTTATGGCATCAATAAAGCACGCTGTTGCAGCACTAAAGCATATATCACTGCCGGGATAAAGTCAATCAATTTTCGAAATATCACATAAATAAAGATGTAGCCATAAACGGAATGACTGACATTACATTTTGCTTGATAGAAGACAAAGAAGGGATCTGATGAAGACAGCAAATGTTGCTCACCACCCAAGATGCATTCATAATGGCTTGGTTTTTTTCTGTTGCTTTGCTATAAAAGGGTGAAAAGGGAGCGAATGTATTTGTAATCTTTTGATTTTTACATGATCAGTTAATACTCCACGCTTTGCTCTGTTCACGCAGCACGTGTGTGTGTGTGTGTGTGTGTGTGTGTGTGTGTGTGTGTGTGTGTGTGTGTGTGTGTGTGTGTGTGTGTGTGTGTGTGTGTGTGTGTGTGTGTGTGTGTGTGTGTGTGTGTGTGTAGGTCCCCTTCTCCCCTCGCCAAGTTTACACATAGTCATTGATCAAACAGCCTCAGTCATCAAACTGTAGCATTGCTCAGAGACAACAGAGGCCCAGATTTAAACAAAGGAGTTAGCGCAGACACAGAACCACACAGGCTAGCACATAGAAAGTCAGTAAACGGGGTATTACTACAGATCCCATCGTTTTACCTTCGATTTGATGTCGAATTTTATTACAGTAACGAGTAAGAGTCATAAAATATGAGTGACTGAATTTATGGACTGCTTCAGCAGCAGAATTCATAGTTATGTTTTGTCTGGAGAAGCCTTCATCAGTCTCTAACTAAAACTGTGCACTTAGAAATGTGAACAAGGACAATAATCTAATGTTGAATGTATTGAAATGTTTACCAAAAACATTAAATGAAGGATTACTCACTTCTTTCTCCCAAGCCATTGAATGTCTTCCTTTTCCATTACTCTCGCCTTCTCCATCCCAGATGCCTTCTTCTTTATTTTGCATCCTGAGTGAGTTTTCTGCCAAATTGAAATGTAACAAGAGTTCAGACAAACAGAAGTTTTAGAGAACTCTTACATGTTTGTTGTGACAAGCAGATAAATGATAAAGAACGTTTTGGAGCCTCTAAACCAGACTTTATAACAAATAGAAGAAATGTACTATGATTGAATGATGCATGTGTTTTGTAGTGGATGCTGTGTGTTTAGGTAGCTAAGCGCTCTTTGCAGTCAGTCAGAGTACAGCAGATGTGTGATGTGTGAGCTGGGTGCATCCGTTACCATACATTTAGAAAATAAGCAGCTATTTGTTGAAGGTTGCCAGATTCTACATAAGGGACAAAGGATACTTAACTGCTGAGAGTGGTAAAATATGTCTTAGATTTCAAATGTGTGCTCCACCAATCCCACTGCACAGGGACTAATAAGACAAAATCCAAACGCATACTTATAATGTGGCATGTATTTAGTGAAATTAAGTGCGTGTCCATTTACTCTTTGTCTGGAAGTATACCAAAATCACTGCAGCAGACAGTGAAGCGACAGCATTCAAAATGGACGCTCCATTTTGAATGCCGCCACACCGTTGCCCGTCTCTGCGTACGTGCCTCAGACTGGCAGCGTGGCACATTTATGGGCATTCCCCATAAGGTGCCTTCCTGATTGATGGCGCAGCCTCGTGCACCTCCCTCTCTTCACTCCTCAGTCCTGATTTATTCGTCTAGTCTCTGTGACTTGGCACTGGCATTGCCCACTACTTCTCCTGTGGAAACTCCCTGTGGGCACATTCACTATTATTTGGTGTCCCAATGGGCAAAAGCATCAGACAGAAACATACAGGCGCACACACATACAGGCGCACACACACACAGTGCACGTCTCATCTCACTCACACTGGGCCTGTGCTAGAGGGCAGGTGAGCCTCCCACTGCCTCCACTCTGAAAGGATCTCTCAGCATGCTTGGTGGGCCAGAGGGGTAAGCGGCTCTGTAAGCCTGCCAAGTGAGGAGCTGGTCCGGGTATGCATGAGGACGACAACACACACACACACACACACACACACCCACACACACACACACACACACACAACACAAACACAAAACACAAAAAAACACACACACACACAAAAACAAAACAAGCAACAGAACACGAAACATACACACAGAAGGAAGAGAGAGAGAATTTTTATTTTTCTGAGACTAGAAGAAGAGAGAGCGAGAGAGAGAGAGTAGAGAAGAGGAGGAAGAAGGAGAGAGAGGAGACGGACAGCGAGAATAACAAAGAGAAGACCTAGCAAGAGAGATAGAGAAGAGAGAGAGAGAGACGGAGAGAGAGAGACAATAGACCGAGTCTTCGTGAACCTAGCAGGCTTCTTCTCTTTGCCAATCTGCAGTTATGATCCTTTTCCGCCTGTCATGATCTTCATAAAGAGATCAAGACCCAAGTGGTAAAGAAATCAAACACATAAATAAGATGGTATGCATATGCAAGCACTTCACATCACTGTCTGGCTCAATCTTTGTTTATACTATCACTTCAGTTCAGCGCGTGATATGAAACAATTAATTAAAAATAAAATACTTTGATTCAACAGGGAAAACCTAACCGTAATAAATATATAGTTTTTAAAATATGCCTCCAGCCCCGTGTACCAATACCAAATTCATTTGAAATAAGGCATACAACATATACATAAATAATACAAATATGCACATTTTCATAAACATGCCTTAAATATTGAAAAAGCGTTTCCAATAATTAAACGGGATGGACAACATAGTCTTTACCATGTTTAAGATGTAGCATTGCATATTCATTGGGGTCAATTATTATTTTTAAGACTTTATGTCTTTCATTTCAGTTGATGTTTGTTATGTTTTTGGTCGAGTCATTTTAATTGTGTTCTTGTACAGTGTTCCTACAATTTCGAGCACTTTTTCTCCCATTAGTTTATGTAAATTGAAAAAAACATATACACTTTACAATTGTTGCACTTTATTCAAGATTCAAGCACTTCAAGTGTCTCGCTGTCTCGCAGACCCCACGCAGCAACCAGGAAATCGAGACCAGTAATACCATGGATGTATAATAAGTAATAGCCTACAGCTCACACTGTCCGCTCCTCGAGCCTCAAAGTAACGCGTTACTGTAATAATTCAGTAATCACACTACAGTTACTAACATTGCCCCGACACGCGTTACTTCGTTACTTACTAAAATAATAATATTAATAATAAAAATAATAATCAAACCTCAACAAACACCGGCAAAGAACACATGCTAAGGTGAAGCTAACGCACAGCTATTTGTTGTTTGTTTATATCACGTAGTCTGTTCTTCTGCTCTGTTTTCCGGTTGTTGCCTGTTTTGAATGACGAATACACACTACCGCCGCCTGCTGGTAAGGAGAGTTATTGCCACTCACGCATGCACAGTGAGATGGGTCTGCCTGCAGACCGCAGCAAGGAGGCGGATCGTATAGGGGCGGATCGTATAGGGGCGTTTCCTAACTTTTTTTATCCAATAGAATAATGACACTCAGCAGAAATACATACTGTAGGTGGCAGTAATGCAATTTAAGGGATTCCAGCTGCTTTTATAAATCCTCGCAGAATAAGTCATTCGTTCTTTCACGATGGCCGAACAACAAGTTGAAACAGCGGTAATAGTATTTTCCAGAGATGCATGTTTATATTTATTGTAGGGCTGTCAAGTTAACGCATTAATAACGCAAAAAAAAAATTAACGCCACTAATTATTTTAACGCGATTAACGCATGTGTATTTTTTTTTCCTCGGCCGCCCCGTAGTTTCAGAGCGCATCGAGTTTAAAATACCATCTACAAGCTGATGCTGACAGCCCCGCTCCTGCCGCCCGCTTGTGGCAGACCACACTTCCACGCTCACCGGCAGGCACCGACTGGCTATCTGGAGGACCGGGAGGGTGTGTGTATGTGTGGCGAGACGCGAGAGCGAGCGAGAGAGAGACCTTACGTGCATTGTTGTTGTTAGCATCTGGTGCTAGCTAGCTGCGCTAACAGATATAAGGAGCTGTTTAAATGAAAACAGAGGAGCGACATTTCGCCGACAACTTCACTTTATGCAGGAAGCCAGACAGTGGGACATTGTACGAGAAGTCAGCACACTCAGCACGGATAGTGCAACATGATTGCAGCGTCCAGGCAGCTCCCGTTCGAGCATATGCCTTGAGTTGCACATAGCTCCAACGATCCAACACACACACACACACACACACACACACACACACACACACACACACACACACACACACACACACACACACACACACACACACAATTTTTATTGTATTAGGTTCCAGGTTGAATTGAGGCAAATATTTGTAATGTTCAGAAGTTGTTGTGTTTAATATTCATGAGAATATTTGTCATTGTTCAAATGATAATAAACATTAGCATAAAGCATATTTGTCCACTCATATGTTGATAAGAGTATTAAAAACTTGAAAACTATTCCTCTAAGGTACATTTAAAACAGATCAAAAATGTGCGATTAATTTGCGATTAATCGCGATTAACTATGGACAATAATGCGATTAAATATTTTAACCGCCTGACAGCCCTAATTTATTGTAATGTCATTTTTCTTAACACACAATTGTCTCGTTATCAAAGTACAACATCGACTGTCCAACCTCGTTAAGCGTTAATAAAGTAAATAATAGTTGTATGTGGTAAAAATGTTTGTGGTATTAAATGCTAACTTAGCATGATGGTATAAACACGTTGGCCTATAGTCCCGTTTGCAACCAGGCCTACTCTACTGTTGTAATAACGTTAAATTTAGATAGGTCAATAGATTATCAGGCTCGGTAACAATACTGATTTGTGTTACCAAAGCTGATCATCTAATTGACCTAAGGTTAGCGTATATGCTGTGATGCTAACCAGCACTTAGCATGATGCTAGTGTACTGTTGTATTATCTTGGAAATATAAGTAGGCCTGCCCTACATACTGTAACTTAATCAAATAATATGGTATGGATTCGGATAGACAACATGGCTAGCTTGATTAAGGTTGTAACTGTAACAGTTTGTAACTACTAGTTGTAATGAACCAGACGAGAGACGAACGCATCCTTTCAGTAAATGTCGGCTGCTAATCAATATGTAAAAATAACACTTCGGATGTGTCTTCTATAATTATGTAACATTAGTTATGGCATCATCAGAAATGTGGTAAAGTAATATGATTAGAGAAGAGTCACTGGTCATCTAACACATGCTTAATAGCTCACCTAACACTATTAAAGACAGGTTAAAGAATGTAACATAATAAAAACTTCATAATATCGATAAGTAAAAACACTAGTTATATTATACAAATTATGTGACCCTTTGAGCTGCATAAACTAATAAGCAATCCAATTAAAATATAAATATCAAAGCTCATTCAAAAACTCGGAAGGCTATAGGGGACATGGGCGCAGAGGACAACTCTCTGGGATGTACTCGGAAGATGAGCTGGCAGGATTCTGCAGCATTGACTGTTTCTATGATGCTGGAGGCACCTTCCAAGAATAAAATGTTTGTTTAATAAAGACTTTCCTCTTTGTATGTACTATATATATTATTTTTTTTTTTTAAATTAATCTTACCACCAGACACAACATGAACAAATGAATGATACACATCAGGACAGTAACTTAAACTTCAGTATTTTAGGTGTACAGAAACCTCTACTCATGTTGTTAAATGATATACAGCAATATCTTCCATAAAACGTAGTTGATTGATTTGAATAATAATTACTACCACTGCACAAACAGTGAAAAATGATATGCCTACAATTTATGCATTTGTCTTCTCTGTGGGTTGTATACTCTTCATTCTTTATGCAAATTAATTATAGTTATTATTTTTCAAAGTTCGTTTATGATTCATTCAAAGCATTAAAATAAATGAGAAACAGAGAGCGTCATATACCTTTAAGAAATACGTGGGGGCGGGGTTCATAACCCTTTAGGAAACGCCCCTATACGATCCGCCCCTATACGATCTGCCCCTATACGATCCGCCTCCTTGCTGCGGTCTGCAGCCAGACTCTATTGTGCACAGTTCGTACGTGCTCGGCTGAAGTCTTGGCGGTGTATGGTTCCAGTGCAACACATGGTGGCCAACACGCAGGAGAACACGCCGACGCAACAGCGTGAGCAGAGATATACTGCACAAAATACAGATAGCAGGAGACAGAGGACAGCCACGGTCAGATAGGAAAACATTCAGGAGCTATCTGGATCAGTCTTATGCGACAATGGAAATGGAAACTGAACTAAAAAGAACATTTGAAACTTTAATTAGCAGTCTGCGTGATCTGCCTGTAGGGAGGGGCGGGCCTATGGGCTCAGAACAGTCTCATAATACACACGTACACACAGAAGGATTCACACTTGTATTTCATGATCCACACTTGTGTTTTTCAATGCACACACAAATGTGTTCCGTTTCATATACATGTAAATAAAATCCAAATACAGAAAAAAGTTTTACATATGTATTTTTGATCCTCACATATTTGTTTCCGTTTAAATCGCCTGAACCTGCAAACACAAACCACTTTCTGTGCACGGATCGCTGTGCATTCGTGTGTGGGTTTTTTGAGACTCCCCTGACGGTCACCCGATTCGTACTTGTAATTTTTTCTATCTATAACCAATCAGATGTCTCCTTCATTCTAAGCCAATTACATGAGCGCGCCCCCACGAGGGTATGATTTCTTGCGTTCATGACACTTCATATGCGCATTTTGCGTATTCAGCTCGCTAAACAGTGGGCGGGGCTTCAGGTGATTATTCAGGTGACACTGCAGCTTTTCGAAAATCTTGGAGCTGGGCTTGTCTGAAAGCTTGGGGATTTTTTGCGAGCAACGCGACCAACAACCAATCACATGAATCTCCCGCCCCCGACATACAAAGCAAAAAAACCCGGGGATTTTATGCGAGCAATAGGCCTATATATAATATATAAAATCCCCAAACAGGCGAAAACCTACCAGTTTCACCCACTGTCTCTGCCACCTCCCTCCATGCCTGGTTCCTCCGGTTTTTATCCCGTTAATAGTTCTGGTCGTAAAGAACCGGGTGATTTGCTACCGTAATTTCTCGTTTGGAATATGAGGAAATGAACTGCGGTCTGGCTCTCCCTGCTTACACGCGGTTTGATTGGCTAGCGCTTCTACTGTCAGATTTGCATAAACGGGATTTGATTGGCTGACGCTTCCAGCTCAGCTTCAAAAGAAGAACATTGCTCAACTTTTGAATCCTGAAAATCTTCGCTTCGCTCCCCCACAATGCAGTTCGGCGAAAAGCGAGGCAAAGTGACGTCATCTGTGTGACATCTAAGCTAACCTGTAGCTGCTCCCTCCACACTCTCAACAACTTCATACAGACATAAATACAGGAAACACACATTTAAAACGGTTTTGCCTGCCGTTTTTGTGTACACAAGCATTCATCAATGGTTCGGAAAGTGGCGCTGTACCTTAATAATATAAAGGCTTGTATTTGCGTGCATTTCCTGTTCGGAAAGTGGCGCTGTACTGAGAGTGGAGGTGTCCTGAGATTAGCGCCTGCAGGCAGGCTCCATAGAGCTGTCAGCTCCGGACGGCGCAAAATGCGTACATGAAGCTCTACGTCATGAACGCAAGAAATCTACCCTCGTGGGGGCGCGCTCATGTGATTGGCTTAGAATTGAGGAGACATCTGATTGGCTATAGATAGAAACAATTACAAGTACGAATCGGCTGACCGTCAGGGGAGTCTCAAAAAACCCACGCACGAATGCACAGCGATCCGTGCACAGAAAGCGGTTTGTGTTTGCAGGTTCAGAGGTTTTACACGGAAAACAAATATGTGAGGATCAAAAATACATATGTAAAACTTTTTTCTGTATTTGGATTGTATTTACATGTATATGAAACGGAACACATTTGTGTGTGCATTGAAAAACACAAGTGTGGATCCGGAAATACAAGTGTGAATCCTTCTGTGTGCACGTGTGTATTATGAGACTGTTCTGAGCACATACGGGCCGGCCCTGCGAGTAAAGTAACGAGTAAAGTAACGAGTTACTTTATGTAGAGAGTGACGAAGTAGTGCAATATATTGTTTTGTTTTTTTTAAGTAATATGAAATATATTACTTTTTTTTAGTAACGACCCCATCTCTGTGTAACACACATGAATATTTTTCAATTATTTCCAACACCCATGGGAACCTTGCTTTTATGATCCGACAGAACTTCCTGTAGAATGAAAATGTGTAAACATGAGT